AAAGATCCTCTCCTTCTTCTACAGAATCTAGTACTTCTCCTGTAAACAACTCCTCCAACCCAATTCCAGAAGTCACACCAACAAACCAACAGGTAATAATTAAACCCTCTGAATATTTTTCCGGAGACCCCAGCCTGTGTGGAGGATTCATCCTACAATGTAAGCTTGCCTTCAAGGGAGCCCCTCAGCTCTATTCATCGGACTCAGCTAAGATCACGTATTTCATTAACCAATTAAAGGGTGATGCACTTCGTTGGGCCAATTCTTATTTTCAGTTCCATGACGTTGAAACTGCTTCATTTGATACCTTGTTAAAGGAGTTCCTGAAGATCTTCAATCGACCGCTGCGGGAGCCGAACGCCGTAAAGCGGCTTCTCGGACTATGCCAGGGCAGTCGGCCTGTCGCGGAGTACGCCCTCGAGTTCCGTATTCTCGTGGCCCAGACCGGATGGAATGAAACGGCACTGCAAGGTACCTTTTTACGCTCTCTGTCTGACCCCATCAAGGACCAGATCACTGCACGGGACGAACCCGAAAGCTTCGACGAGCTCATAGACCTGGCAGTAGCTTTAGATGAGCGCTTCCGGGAATGGCGAAGAGAAAGGAACTACAATTCCCACCGCTTCACCACTTCCGGTTCCGCGATGCCTTCAGGTGAGCCTCGTTTACACCGAACACCACTGGGAAACTACAAGCCACAGGGAGACTCATTTCCAGGATCGCTTCCCAGTCAACCTGCAGTTTCGACCAGACGTTTCTCTGAACCTCCGGAACCCGAACCTATGCAGATAGGTCGAACTCGTCTGTCTACAGAGGAGAAACAAAGATGTCGTGATACAAATTCATGCATTTATTGTGGCAACCCCGGTCACTATATAGCCAACTGCCCATTCCGGGGAAACGAGACCGCCCGTCAATAAGGGAGATATTGGTGGGTTCTTCCTCTTTTTCTCCCTCCAGCAGACTCATGTTACCCACACTCATTCAGATCAATCAGAACCGCCATCCTGTCAAAGCCTTGATAGATTCCGGAGCTGAACAAAATTTAATTAGCCTGAATTTAGTCCAAAAACTATTTTTACCCACTCAAAAAATCCCCTCTGTTGCTATTGCGGGGGTTACTGGTGAGACTTTAGCCCAGATCAACCTCAAGACTACTGAGTTACACTTAATCATTTCAGGAAACCATCATGAAATTAATGACTTTTATGTGTTTGAATCTCCCAATACTCAACTCATTTTAGGCTACCCTTGGTTAAAGAAACATAATCCCTGCATCAATTGGAAATTGGGGAGGATAGAAAAATGGAGTGATAATTGCTTAAAACATTGTTTACGCTCTGGAGTCTCCAACCGACCTGTGGAGACTAAAATTTTAGAAAGAGCTGACATGTCTTCTGTTCCTTCTGAATATCACGACCTTGCTCTTGTATTTAATAAACAAAGCGCTCTGTCCCTACTACCTCATCGCCCGTACGACTGTGCCATCGACCTCCTCCCTGGGGCCTCGCTACCAGCCAGTCGACTATACAATCTATCAGGACCAGAAAGGGAGTCCATGAAGAAATATATTGAGGAATCTCTCGATTCTGGTATAATTCGCCCGTCCACCTCTCCAGTCGGTGCGGGGTTCTTCTTTGCATCCAAGAAAGACAAGACCCTCCGACCCTGCATTGACTACAGAGGTCTAAACAACATCACTATTAAAAACAAGTACCCCTTACCTTTAATTGACTCCATTCATGAGCACCTCCAATCTGCTACAATCTTTTCCAAACTTGATTTAAGAAACGCTTACCACTTGGTCCGGATTAAAGAGGGTGATGAGTGGAAAACAGCCTTCAGGACCCCGCTTGGACATTTTGAATATTTAGTGATGCCTTTCGGGTTGACTAATGCCCCGGCAGTATTTCAAGTTCTAGTCAATGACGTACTCAGGGATTTTATCGGCCACTTCGTCTTCGTATACCTAGACGACATTCTCATTTATTCTCACAATGAAGAGGAACATGTAAAACAAGTCCGTACGGTACTGCAAAGACTTTATGAAAACCAACTTTTTGTCAAGGGAGAAAAATGTGAATTTCACGTACCTTCTGTATCATTTCTGGGCTTTATCTTTGAGAGGGGTTGTTACAGGACGGGCCCAGAAAAGACCAAGGCAGTGGAGGACTGGCCTGTTCCCGAGAACCAGAAACAGCTCCAACGTTTTCTGGGTTTTGCCAATTTCTACAGGCGATTTATTAAGGACTACAGTCGCATCGCCTCACCTCTCTCACAACTTACATCAACCAACCAAACCTACAAATGGACTCCTGAGGCTGGTGCTGCATTCGGTAAGCTCAAGAGACTTTTTTCCTCTACTCCCGTCTTGTGTCACCCTGACCCTAAACGCCAGTTTATTCTGGAAGTTGATGCCTCGGACACTGGTGTGGGTGCTGTTCTCTCTCAACGGTCCCTAGAAGACAATAAAGTGCACCCATGCGCCTTCTTTTCTAGGCGTTTATCACAAGCGGAGAGGAATTATGATGTAGGTAATCGTGAGTTGTTGGCGGTCAAACTGGCCCTGGAGGAGTGGCGCCATTGGTTGGAGGGTACTGCTACTCCTTTCCTTATCTGGACCGACCACAAAAACCTCACCTACCTAAGAGATGCAAAGCGGCTGACTCCCAGACAGGCACGATGGTCCCTTTTCTTCAACCGATTCAACTATGTTTTAACTTTCAGGCCTGGTTCCAAGAACATCAAGCCTGATGCGCTCTCCCGACAGTTTTCTCCTCCGAGTGATCCAGAGACGGTGGAGAGTATCATCTCACCAGTGTGTGTCGTAGGGGCCCTCACCTGGTCTATCGAAAAGGAGGTCCTGGAGGCACAAAAGGATGAACCTGGCACCGCTCCTACTGGGAAACTTTTCGTCCCCTCAACCATGAGGGCCAAGGTACTAGATTGGCTACACTCTCATAAGCTTTCTTGTCACCCAGGTATCTCTCGTATGCTCTCCCTCGTCAAGACCCATTTCTGGTGGCCCACTCTCAATCACGATGTCAAGAGTTTTGTTTCAGCCTGCCCCACCTGTGCCAGGAATAAGACTGGTAACCAACCACCTGCCGGACTTCTACAACCTCTACCCACCCCCAGCCGCCCTTGGTCACATATATCTGTGGACTTCGTTACGGGTCTGCCTCCGTCCGAAGGTAACACCACCATACTCACAGTCATAGACCGTTTCTCTAAAGCTGCCCATTTCATCCCCCTGCCTAATCTCCCCTCTGCCTTTGAGACAGCCCAAACGCTCATTCAGCATGTTTTCCGCATTCACGGCATTCCCTCTGATATCGTCTCGGACAGGGGTCCTCAATTCATCTCGCAGGTCTGGCGAAGCTTCTGCAAGACGTTGGGGGCAACCACCAGCCTTACCTCTGGTTACCACCCGCAGTCCAATGGCCAGGCTGAGCGATGTAATCAGGAGCTTGAGACCACCCTCCGATGCGTTGTTGAACGCAACCCCTCAGCCTGGAACCAGCACTTGGTCTGGGTGGAGTATGCCCACAACACACACAGGTCTTCGGCAATAGGGATGTCACCATTCGAGGCATCCCTTGGTTACATCCCTCCCCTGTTCCCCAGTCAGGAAGCCAACATCTCAGTCCCGTCTGTCCAGCATCATTTTCGCCGTTGCCGACGAGTCTGGTGTCAAACCAAGACAGCTCTACTGCGCTCGGCAGCCCAGAACAAGAGGTTCACCGATCGCCATCGCTCCTCAGCACCACCATACCAGGTGGGCCAAAAGGTATGGCTTTCTACCAAAGACATTAATATCAAAGACACCCCTAGGAAGCTGGCGCCCCAATACATCGGCCCGTTTCCCATCAACCAAATCATCAACCCGTCTGCAGTCCGCCTTCAGTTACCAACCTCCATGAAGATCCACCCAACTTTTCATGTGTCACAAATCAAGCCAGTTTCTGAGAGTCCCTTGAGCCCGCCTGCCGACCTCCACCCTCCCGCCCGATTGATCGATAACCACCCGGCCTTCTGTGTCAGGACCATCCTGGATGTCCGTCGCCGGGGCCGTGGTTACCAATATCTGGTTGACTGGGAGGGCTACGGTCCCAAGGAGAGGTCATGGATCCCCAGATCGTTCATCTTAGATCCCAGCCTGATCTCCAGCTTTTTCAAAGCCCACCCTGAGAAGCGCCACAGGTCGCCTGGGGGCGATTCTTGAGGGGGGGGGGTACTGTAGGAGTCCCAATGTCTGCAGCCTTCCTCCAAGATGGCCGTTAATTAACACCAGCTGACGGTCATCCACCTGATGAGGAACACCTCTACTTAAGGCTGCAGTCCTGTGTGACTCATCGCTGGAGCATTGAGCTTTATTGGTATTTATGCCTCCAGCCTAAACGTGTGAGTATATGATATACTCTTATCTTGTTCTTTATGCCCGCAGTACCCTGCCTGTTTGACTCCATCCTTGTTGCCTTGTCAACCACCTGCCTGCCAGACCTGTCGAGCCACTCATCTGCCAGACTTGTCGAGCGAATTCTGTTTGCCAGTCCTGTCGTCCTGCTTTCTCCAGCCAGACCTGCTTGTACATTCCGCCCTACCCTGGTTCCCGACGCCTACATCTGATCGCCGGAGGACAGCCATATATGTATATAAACCCCCTACACTGTATATAATAAACACTGTTTCTTCCTTTCTAAAGATCTGATTCTGCTTCGTTCTGGTCTTGTACCAATCTGGGTTCCGCTAGTCATTACAGACAGCAGCAGAATGAGGAAATGTGGTCAATGTGTCATCCTGCTCTCTAAGCTTATAGCAGCATAACATTCAGATTGGAGTTTTCTTTAGTTCAGTTTGCCCACGTAGACATGAACTGTAAGTATTTTACAGCCCTATTCTCTTGAAACTGTCACTTGTGCTAAATATATATTTATCATGTGCAAAATACTTTGGTGGTCTGATTTTTTCAAGTCTTCTCTTCTTTTAATTTTCTGCAGAGCTTATATGAGTGTGAAAGAAATAAAGGAGGAGTTAAACCTGAGCAGCAGCGACACTCTCAATGTTTTTTTTGCGAGCAACTCGTTGCGTGAAGAGCTGGCAGGAGCAGCGACCTGGCCATGGGCAAAGGAGGCTCTTACACACCAAGGTTGGTTACGCAACAGGTGGGACATATAGTATGTACAGCTTGTTTTCTTGTTGCTTTCTTCATTTCCTCAGCTTGTATATATGAATATGCACGTCAAACTTTACAAACACTTTACTGGTTTTATTGCATAAATCAACAAATGTGTTTTTTGTCCTTTTACATATATTTTTACATGATTTAAAAACAATATAATTTTTAAACACATTTCTGCAGATCTTTTGAACTTGAGAATTAAATTGAATAATTACGTTTTCCATCACATGTATGACACATGACATTTCAGTTTCACAACATTATTACCTGTTTACAATTGATGAAGTCCTTTGGATGAAGGACGAAACGTCTCAATAAAAAAAAGAAACCGTCCAGATAACCTGACTGAACTTTGTTGGATTTTTTTACCTGGATTATTGAGCATGAACTTTGATGTTTTGAACCACTTTGGCTATTGCTGCCTCAGAGGAGTCGACGGTGAAGAGGGTGGGTCCCAGAAACCATCTTATCACCAGCAAACTGGTTGGTCCACATATGGGAGTGTGCTGCTTGTGGGACTCAGTTTGTTGTGACTTCTCAGATTGACGAAGTCCTTTGGATGAAGGATGAAATGTCTCAACAAAAAAATAAACCATCCAGATGACCCGTCTGAACGTTGTTGGATATTCTACCTGGATTATTGAGCATGAACTTTGATGTTTACAAATAGTTATTAGATGGTAATGGGAAGTTTAATTTACACGCAGTGGATTGTGAAATGAAAACGTAACAGTTTATTTCACTACACAGCACAATTTTCTGTGATCACTTTACTGTGTTGGTTCTTCTGGAATCAGAAAGTGCCTTGACTTTGATAAGAAATCAAATGGCCCATAATATTTACAGTAACTGACCACGCTCTTTAAAACAAAAACTTTTTTATTAGCATTTTAACAAATGGTGGAAATTTTATTTTCTGTCTAGGTGGGATGGTCCTCAACCCATCCTACTTTGGTACAACAGGCCACCAAAACACAATGATTCACGAGATGGGACACATTTTTGGACTGTACCATGTCTTCAAGGGGGTGAGCGAGCGGGACTCCTGTGATGACCCATGTCAGGTAGGACAGGTGCTGACTGTAAAAATGATGAGCATACGGTTTTCTTTTTTCTCCCATTGCCGATCTTTTAAAAGGCTGTTTTTGAATGTAGATCTAGAATCTCTGCTGTCTTTTGCTGGCGTCAACAAACATTTGTCTGACCTTTGTCATATGTCGTGTGTTTGTAGGAGACCACCCCATCAATGGAGACAGGAGATCTGTGCGCCGACACTGCCCCAACAACCAAATCTAAAGCCTGCCACGACCCTGGAGCTGTTAATGATACGTGTGGATTTACCACCTTCCAGAACACTCCTTTCAACAATTATATGAGTTATACTGGTACAACAGCATTATCTTCTCACCCTGTTAGAAAGAATAAGCTTCTCATGTCCAATATATTAGCATTGAATGCATATATTAACTAGGTAGTGATAACATAGAACATTAAATGGATTAATGCTGTGAGTTCATTTTTTTTTTATCTCAACCCATCAGATGACAACTGCACCAACCAGTTCACTCCAAACCAAGTAGCCAGGATGCACTGTTATCTTGACCTGGTCTACCAGAAGTGGCTAATGGACCGTCGACCTGCCCCCATTCCACTTGCCCCGATAGTGACTGACCAAAGCGCCAATTCTGTCTCTATATATTGGCTCCCACCAATGAGAGGGTCACTTGTTCAAAGGTATGTATACTTGATCATACTGATTTATCTCTGAAATATACGGTAGTCCCTGGATTATTGCAGGGTTTACGTTCCACACACCACCAGGATAGGTGAAAAACCATGAAGTAGGAAGACTATATTTATTTTAGTATTTATATATATTTCAAGGATTTATAAACCCTTCCCACACTACTGCAATATTCTGAACTCTTAAATCTATGCAATTTAAAAAACAGACATATATGTACAGTACATTACAGTACTACAAAATTTTACTCACCAGTTCTGCAGAACAGCAGCTCAGCTCCGGTCATGTTCGGTTCTGGTTCTGCAGACTTACCCTGCAGCATGAAGCCCACCGCCGTCCAAGTTGATGTGCGCGTAGATAATTGAGCTTCAGGATTATTTGCGACTTTCCTGACAGTTCTATGAGCTTAACAGATACATCATTACTTCTGACTTTGTGTCGCAAAACTTTCCCTTTGTTTCGGCAGAAAGCAGCGGCTGGAAGCACTGTTGGCTTCTGGGTAGTGTAGTTCTTTTGACCTGCGTTACAGTGTAGACTTATTAAAAGAAAACTACAAAATGGCAGCACCTGTCCGAAGTATTATTTTTCATAAACTTTTTATCCCGTACCGTCCCAATCATATGAATAATATTAAAGTTGAGAATCGTTGAAAAACCGCGAAAGAGTGAGTCTGCGAAAGTCAAACCGCAAAGTAGCGAAGGGACTATTGTACATCGGATTGAGCTCTGTCTTGTGTTGTGAATGGCTGCATTTTAAACAAAGATCTTCATATTTTTATTAATATTTAAAAGTTGAATGAATGGGGTTAACTCTCAGCTACTACCACACCAGACATTAGCTCAATATCTGTAAAATGTTTGTGTTTGCTAAGTTTGATTCCTTGACGTGTCCATCTTAAATTGTCTTGTCTCCAAAAGTTAATCGGTTGTAGATTTACCTCTGATGATTACTTACTGTGTTTCATTAAAATCTGTTCAGTGCTTCATAAGCTAGTTTGCTAACAGACAGGAAACAAGCGCCCGCTCACACAAGAACAAGCCTTTTTCATGCTGCCTTTCATGGTAGTGGACAATAATAATGAATATATAATACTACATACATAATGAATACAAATCTTTGTGGACATGTGAGTGGAACAATAAAAACCCTGTTCATATCTTGACATTTCAACTGAACAAGCCTGGATTTTATGGTGTTTATGACAGCTGCTTTACACATTTGAAATGAGGCACATTTAATTACCATCAGCTTCATCACAACCTCCTCTGTAACATTGTGTGCACATGCATGTACGTATGACCTAATCGAGAGCTATGTTTGCTACTGTCCCAGCTCCTCGTTTCATGGGTCTGGCGTGAGCTGTGAAAACTGTGAGAAAGAAGGCGTCTTCCACCAGTATGCTTATCACGCATCCTCGCCTCGTATATGTGACACGATGGGCTACTGGACACCTGAAGAGGCAGTCGGTCAGTCTGAAAGCACTTTGTTTACCTGTTTAATCCTGTTATTACATATGTGTTTCTGAAAGAAGAATGTATGTATTTATGTATTTTTCTCCATGAAAATTAGGATCATTTTTCTGACATTGTATTTTATTTTACATGAATGGGGTGAGGGGCAGCACGGTGGTGCAACTGGTAGAGCTGCTGCCTCTCAGTGAGCAGGTCCTTGGTTCAAACCCCGGTCCAGGGGCCTTTCTGGGTGGAGTTTGCATGTTCTCTCCGTGCATGCGTGGGTTTTCTCCGTGTGCTCCGGTTTCCTCCCACAGACCAAAAACATGCATGTTAGACTGATTGGTAACTCTAAATTGTCTCTAGGTGTGAGTGAGAAAGTGAATGGTTGTTTGTCTCGTTTGTCTCTATGTGGCCCTGTGATGGACTTGCCACCCGTCCAGGGTGTACCCCGCCCCTCGCACAGTGATTGCTGGACATGGGCACCAGCGACCCCCATGACCCAAAATGGAAGAAGCGGGTAAAGATAACTGATGGATGGATGGATGGATGAATGGGGTGAGAGGAAATAAACACAATCAAACAAACAAGACACAAAGTGGAAGAGAGTGAAAAAACAAAACAGTAAATATGCAGAAATAAAGAAGACATTTTAAACACAATATCACTTTTCTTTTCTCCAATGGAAACTCTACACAAATATGTGGAAATCCTTTGATGGAATTTATGCTTTGGAAACAAGAGGCTAAGAGGAATGGGGGATTACAGTTCATAATGATGATAATAAGTCAATTATAGTCTTACTCTAAACAATGGTATGCACCTAAGAGAAGACAACCAGTGTGTTGGCTTTCCTCCCTCATTTTCCACTATGTCTTGTAAAAGTCATTGTCTCTACAGCTGCTTGTTTGGATTGGTAATATCATCTTCAGCTGAAAAGGCAGAAGGACTGGAACAAATTCAGTTCCTCAAACTCATACTTGGTAAATATTGCCTGTCCTTGACTGATCTGTCAGATTTAGAGTCTATTTTTAAAACTGCCCCCTAGTGTGAGGCATCACAGTACTTTATGTGGTAAGTGAACATTTACAGAGGCTTTCTATTCAGTGGAAGCAAGTTGTAATGAAATAGTTGGAGGGGAGTTTGTGTGGCTAAATGGGCTGTAGAGCAAAACCAATCAGTTATAAATAGTATTTATTTTGCAATATTTGAAGAGTTGTTCTTTTTTTTTTTTTTTTTTTCAAATTACCTGGATCACTGGATCAGTGGTAGCTTGTTTTACTTCAACAGCTGTTGACTCTACTGAGAGGCTCAGGAAACTGTAAGTAATATCGGTTTAGGTTTCATGGTTTAGTTTTTATGAAACTCGTTGCAAAAAACAAAACAAAAACTTCAAATTGATATCTTTTTAGTAATATAAGTAGTGTTTCCAGCAGGACTGTGGCTGGATGTTTATTGTTGATTCAGGTTTTACGCCTAAATAAATCTTTCAGCTGTCAGTGTTTGCAATTCTTGAATTTCAAACCTAATCCTGTGCACATATTGACATTTTGAAGTGAAGAAAACCAATGAGTAAGTTCTGCTTGCAGTGAAATACGTCATTGCTCATCAGTGACGGTGCAGTTTGCAGAAAATGCTGCATTCAGTGTCCTTACATTGTCAAAATAGGCAATATTGTTAGACAAATCCATATAAATGTCTCCGTATACATGCATTGCAAAGAAGAACGGTAAGTTTTCATTGACAATGACATTTAAAAAATAATTTTAGTTATTTATTTTATTACGACCCAAATTCTACAAAAAGTTGGAACATTATGAAAAGTAATATTTAAAGTGCAGTGCAAGGATTTGCAAATCCGATAAATTTATATTTTTATCACAATGGAACATAGTAAACATATCAAATGCTTAAGCTAGAAAAATGTACCATTTGTTAAACAAACAAACAAAGAAACAAAACAAAAAATAAAGGAAGTAATTTTGGACAGCACAGTGGATCAGTTGGTAGAGTTGTTGCCTTTCAGCGAGAAGGTCGCCAGTTGAAATCCCAGTTCGGGGTTTTTCTGGGTGGAGTTTGCATGTTCTCTCTGTGCATGTGTGGGTTTTCTCCTGGTGCTCCAGTTTCCTCCCACAGACAAAAAAACATGCAAGTTAGGCTGATTGGTAACTCTAAATTGTCTCTAGGTGTGAGTGAGAGAATGAATGGTTGTTTGCCTCTTTGATGGACTGGAGACCTGTCCAGAGTGTCCCCCGCCTCTCGCACAGTGACTGCTGGATATGGGCACCAGTGACCCCTGCGACCTGAAAAGGAAGAAATGGGTAAAAGATAATGGATGGATGGAAGTAATTTTGAAATTTATAGCAATAACCATGAAAATATGTCAAAAAAGACATGACAGGGCCAACAAAGAAACAGGGAGAAGAGCTTTTTTTTGGCACACTTCAAAAGTCTGCCTGATGGTGTCATGGTGCATTAGTGCTACAAAGTAGAAGCAGGTTTTAGAACAACATATGCTCCCATCCAGAAGACGTCTGTTTCAGTGAAGGCTTTGCATATTTCAGCAAGACACTGCTAGACCACATACTCTATTCATTACTATTGCTTAATAGTAGGAATCCATGCAGCTTTATCATGCTAGCTATGACATATTTTCATGTTCGATTGTTGCAGATGATAGACAGTTCTTCAGACTTCACCAGTAGCCTCTGTAGAGCCAGATGTTGACTATGCTACTGCGAACATTTTTTCCCTCAAGATTTTTTTTTTTAATGCTGAACCTTCAGCGTTTCTTCAGCATTTGCCTGTTGCATTTTCACTAAGGTCTGAAGTTCAGGGTCAGTTAGACTCTTTGGGTTGCAGACACATGTTGCTTGTTTTCAGTGCTGTATTAGGTTTTGCAGCTAGTCAGACAGCAGCATATAACTCAAGAATGTGATGATATAAAAAGGATATTTTCTTAACGCTGGATTTTTTTCCCCTTAGATCTTTATAGTGTGAAACAAATTGATATCAGTTGTTTCTGCTCGTGTCTTTGCTTTCAGTTGAACAGTCCGTTATTACTGTGTAAAATGAAACTTAACCTGAAAAATCTAATTTTGCATGAGAATGCCTTACGTTTCTGACTGAATAAGGGAAACAAATTAATTTTTTTATTATTCGTAGTATAATTCCACTTTTAGTGTTATAGTACAACCAAACCATTGTAAAACCTTGCATGAAAACATGTTTGCAAGTGTCTTTATTATATTTTTGTTTACCCTAGGGTTGCCTGATGTGGAGCAGCCATGTGAACCCAGTCTCCAGGCCTGGAGTCCTGAGCTAAGCCTCTACGACACCAACGTGACATCACCGTGTCCCGACACGGAGGGCTGCACCCTCACACTGAGATTCCTGCACCCTGTCATTCCTCATGCACTTAAACTCTGGGTAACCTACATCTCCTTAAGTGAGTGTCAGTTCGTAATAAAATTTGTTTATTGGTTTTGGTGGTATGCAGACTCTGTACGGTATGCCTGATTAAGTTAGATACTGTCGGTTGCTGAACTATTGATAATAAGTTGAGAGACTGGAACCATGTGTGGTGAGGTCAGCGAGGTACGTTCTCTGAACCATAGATGTGCTATTGTCCAAATATCTTATATAAACAGATACTTTGAAATACCCCTACAGAGATCAGAGAGCTTTTTTTTTTACCCAAGCTCACCGTTTTTTACAACTCACCACTGATGTTTCGACAAGACATATTGAAACATAAACATGATGTATTGCAACAGTTGTTGCGCTTTCGCTTTCCCTACCATCACATGCAATCGTTAAATTCTTTTGGACCTTTTTCTTTTACCCTGTTCCAGACAACCCTGCTTTAGCCAACATTGAGCTGATTACAGAGGCAGGAAAAAGTATTAGCCTTGGACCACAGCACGTTTTCTGTGACATGCCCCTCACCGTGCGCCTTGACACCCACAATGTGGCGGTAGCTGCCATCAAGCTCAGCACCTTTGATGAGAAAATGGAAATCGATGCAGCCATGTTGTCTTCAGGCCCCGGCAGCCCTCTTTGTTCCAACTGCCAACCTCTGCTGTACCGGGTTCAGCGTCAGCCACCTTTCAGCAGTAAAGCCCCCTCACCTGTGACGCAGCAAACGTTCACAGACAGGTAAGCGCTAATACTGGCATATTTTTGTAAAGGCCAAATATTTTATGTTCAGTACAACTGTGCCATTACAAATGACAATTACTGTATTTTACCTCATAATGAGGACATCTCAGAAGACATATCAGTAAACTATATATTTCCCATGGCAGCTACAGTAGCTAATATAAATATAGCTAATATAGCTAAATACATTAGCTAATATAAAGAACACTGACCTTGACCTAATATCAAACCTTTACACCTCTGCCTGACCATTTGTTTAGTCACTGTTATTTCAACTGATCAACAGCCACATTACTACAAGAATGCACATGTGCTGAACCTGAAAAGATAGAGTTTTTGCTGATGGTGCTGAGGCTGCGACTACATCAGTCCTCCAGGCACTGAGCAAGTCTTCATACTGACTAGACGTCCCAATCAGGCAGACATATTATGGTATATCAAGTGTTACAGCTAGTGTTTGTGTCTGCTAAAAGCAATGCAAAACAAACAAAAAGAGAATTAAATAGCAAAATTGATGGTCATGTGAAGGACAGTAACATGACGTTTGCATAAACTTCTACAAAATAGTTGAGTTGATTAGGAATGTAACAGTCCATTTTGTTCTTGACCCTACTCAGACTAGTGGTTAGTTCATCAGTCTGGTAAGAACTAACCTCTGTTTTTTTTTTTAATTATTTTATTTTATTTTTTTAACTGAGGCTGTTCAATTTTAACTGCTTATAACTTTTACACAGAACTCCACTTCAAAAAGTCCAAATGATCATTTTAATTACAAAGATAAGGCTACAAACCTGAAAATCAGAGTCCAGAGCATACAGTGCATATGTATGTACAGTATATGTATCTGTTTATGTGTGAGTATGTATCCTTGGATGTACTAATCAAGTCAAGTCAAGGTTCTTTATTGTCATTCTCATCACATGTGGTACATGTGATGGAACAAAATTGTGTACTCAGGGTCCCAGTTACATCCAACAAATGTATACATTGTAAAATAAAAACAGTAATAAGTTCTAGATATGAACTAAGAAATACGCTAAGCTAAGAATACAATAAGCACTAACAGTACAAAAACAATACGCTGAACAATAGTAGCACGAACATGTGTCTGTGTGAGCAGCATTCATGTCACAGAATAGTGTTAAGCTCAGGTCCTTTCGGAAAGGCTCAAACAACAAATGTTTCAACCATTGGGATGCCGATTGTAGCTGATCCAAATCTGTTTCAACAACCAGACGCTTAATCAAAATCTTGCTGAAGTTTTGAGGCTGAGTCTAATCAGTTCATATCCTGTCTCCTGTTACAGAGTGTCCAAATGATTACTGGAATTCAAATATAAAGCGACAAGCCATTTGTTCCCATACATTTTTTTCTCAGCAAGTGGCCCTTCTCTAAAATATCTGACACATCTCTGCTCTAACACTTTTTTAAACTTTACAGTCTGATAAGTTCTTTCCAGGATATGACAGCTGCATCACACGATTACAGACTAAAAATGGGGCTGGTTTCAGACATAATGCGGTTCTGAATTTCTTAGAAGTTGTTACTATTTTCAAGAGTTGAGTGGATGCGATGTAGACCCTGCTTTAAAAACTGTCTTTTTTTTTTCAGAGAAGATCGTCTCCTGTGTTATACAAGCTGTATCTAAGTACAAAAGTATGTAAGAAGTGGTGGGAATTCAGTTATGTGGGACTGGAGAGGGCAAAGAGGGGTTTATGTGAGAAGAGTAAAAACAGTAAATTTCAAAAGAGGTAGAGAGGACAAGTAAAGGAGCTGAATAAATGTGATGGGAAGAACAATGGCTATTATGAGATAGTATAGGTATTAACAGAGTACTAGAAACAGAAAACTACATTTGATGGTATTGTTAGGTGACATAGACAAGTTTTCTAGGTAGAAACAAGTTCGTTATGTTTGTATGTGTTGAGTGAACAATATGAAATTTGTTGGAAGGTGTAGGATACAATCGGAGTCATAAACATTGGTTTAAAATGGTGTTCAGACAAAATAATGTAAAGGTAGCATCAATAAGTAGATGGAAATAGGAATAAGTCATTTTAGTATGGTAATTAAAGTCCAAGCATTACTTGAAGTAATGCATATTACTGGTTGCCTTTCATGTCAAAGTTTGAAGCTAAAATTTTGATGAGAAGGGACAGGATGTTTTGCTCAAACCTTGCAAATTACATCAAGTCTAACAGCCTCAGGGTAGAAGCTGTTCCTCAGTCTAGTGGTTCAACACTTAATGCTCCTCAACCTCCTGCCTGAGGGGAGTGGGGCAAAAAGTGTGTGTGCTGGGTGAGTGGGGTCCTTCATGATGCAGGTGGCCCTCTTCCTGCATCTGGAGGTGTAGATGTCTGTGATGGTGGGGAGGCTGATTCCGACAGATTTCTGTGCAGCCTTCACCACTCTCTGCAAAGCTTTTCTTTCTGCAGCTGTGCAGCCTCCATGACACACGTTGATGCTGGAGCACAGGATGCTCTCCACTGCACACCTGTAGAAGGAGGTGAGGACTGAGCTTCCCAGACCAGCTCGTCTCAGCTGTCTGAGGAAGTAGAGTCTCTGATGAGCTTCTTGATCAGACTGGCGGTGTTGTTGCTCCAGCTGAGGTTGTCATTCAGGTTCAGGTGCACACCCAAGTACTTGTAACTGGAGACCACTTCCCCCACAGATCCTCCAATGTTCAGGGGGGTGGGGTGTAGGTGTGTTTAAAGATGGTCATTTATCGTTATTATTATCATTTATCACCATGTAATGAGAAGCCTCTGACAATAGACACTGTAGGTGTGAAATGACAGAAGAGGATGTTGCTGGATATAGTGAATGTACATAAAACTGTAAAGTAGGAATATTTACTTATTCTTTATTCCCTTTTTGTGGTCTATAATTAATGAAAATACTTTTTGGAATGCAGATAACCTGAACTCACCAGCAGGAACTGCGGTAGTTTACTTGTTACCTTTCACACCAGGCGGATACAGAATTGGCACATTTGTGCTAGGAAAACAGAGACGGGCTGTTTTTATAAGCACAGCTCATCAAAACAGATCGGTACTCCTGACACCGGAGCCATTGGACTAGTGCACACATTTCTTGCTTTAGCTTTAGTGCCACTTTTGAGGTTACTGATTGGAGGGGTTTCTTAGAACGTTTGTCTTTGCAATCTCACAAACTTTCCAAAATGATCATATCTGAACACATATGAAGTTTGTGTGGGATGTTTAAATTAAAGCTTTATCATTCTTTGAAAAAATGCACCTCACTTGCCTCCTTTCATGCCAGTTTAGACCATGATCATCTTATCTTAAGAAACAACAGTTGTAGCTGTTTAGGTCAGACCTTGAAAATTTTAAGATCAAGATGTCCTGCTCAGAGTACAGGTGTTTTGATGATTCTCAGATCATCTACATCCAGTTTCAGCTCAACATCTGTAAAACTGAGTTATTGTCATTTTTAGTTTTGGCAAATGCTACTTAGCTACTGCAGCCAAACGGAAATGTGTTGACTTCAAGTAATTAGTTGCAGATCATGACAAGTTTCAATAAAAGTGATCCAGTGGTTTGTTAGCTACTTTGGGAAAAGACACGTGCGTGCACACTCCACCCCACGAACACACACACTTTTGCATTGACTTCCATTCATTTCTATAGCTTAACCCTGACCCTTACGATCAACCTAACCATAACCAGTACATACCTAACCCTAACCCATCCTCAATTCACACCGTAGTCCTAAACCATCAGCACTAACCCACCAACAGCACTGTTCCATCTGGAGTCCAAGCTTTGGGGCCCGTATTGGTCCTCACAATGTAGTATGTGTTGGAAAAATGACCCTCACAAAGTAACATAAACAAAGACGTCGTCCCACACACACATTCACAGGCTAAAACATTATCACCCACCTTTTGGCTTTTGTGGCAATGGGCCAAAATACCCTACATATTATTTAATTCAAGTTCTGAATGTGTGAGCAAATTACAAAGTATTACTATAGAAATTAAGACATCGCACTGCTTTAAAGAACATTGCAAATGAAGAAAGTCGTCTTTTTTCAAGTAAAAAAAAAAAAATCATATAAATTTGAAGAATCATTTCTGATTTCATTCTTTATCTTCCTCAGCTCTGTTATCCAGGGAGTCAAGTATCAGTACACAGTCCAGGTGGAAGCAGATGGTCTTCTCAGCTATCCCTCACTGCCTCTTATCTACACACATGGGCAGTCCTACTGTGGCGATGGTCGTGTACAGGGGTCTGTGCACTTAGTTTGTATTAACTATGGTGAAAGTAATCAAGGAAATGATGATGATCGTCCTTTTTTCTACAGCATGGAGGAGTGTGACGACAGCAATCTGTTGGACAGTGACGGCTGCTCCAAGAAATGCCTTAAGGAGGCAGGCTTCAGCTGTAATGGTGCGTACCATTCACTCCTCTGCTGAAATATCCTCACATCACACTGTTTATTCAACAACAAGTCACAACACTTTTAAAAAGGCCCACATTAAAACCACCACCTCTGCTTCTGTCTTGCATGTATGAAACAAATCCTAAATAAACTTTCAGCATGAAAAAACAATTCAGTAAGCAGCCAGAAACCCCTCATTTGTGTATGCAGCTGCATTTAGTAAAAACTATTATGCCATTCAAATGAAATTTACAAGACATAAAAGCTTCTGGCTTGAGTGGATTCCACAGATCAACATCACAGCAGAGCAAGAAAACACAGATGAGCTGATGAGCATAAAAGGAAAAAAACAAGAATTTGTTAGGTTACCAGACTTTTTTAAAGCTCTTTGACGTGTAGCTGGCTCAGGAATGCCAGAACATACAATTTTAATCAGTAAAATACACAACTCTCTCCACCCTTATATCTCACTCATGTTTTTTCAGTATTTTAGCCTTAAGTAACCCCTATGAACTCGTGGCTACTAATAAATTAAACTTCTAGATTTTTATCACACACTATGCAGGGATACATATTAGATGTTAGACAAAGTGTGTTTTGAAAATTGTTTTTCCATTTTATTTCATAACCTTTATCTAATGTAAAATAAGGCTTTTTCACCATCCACACATGTTGGCAACGCGTTTTTCTAGAGATCGTATCTTATTGAAATAAAGACTTGGCATTCACCTTGAATGGCAACATTGTACTAAAATCAACTTTTCCATTCAAATATATTATCCATCCATCCATCCATCCATCCATCCATCCATCCATCCATCCATCCATCCATCCATCCATCCATCCATCCATCCATCCATCCATCCATCC